CCCCCCCCGAGTCAGAAAATAATACAATAAATTATTGAACAGATTCAGAAAGGCTTTACGTTACTAACATAGCTTTTACCACGTGTCATTATGATGCTCTTCAAATGTGGTTTTAACAGCAAGTAGGCTGTGAATATTTCAGTAAATTCTAAGAAAACTTTCAGAGAGTGTTTTCTTCTCCTTTAGATACTAGAAAGCATTACTCTTGCAAATCAACACTGAACTTTAAGCAGTAATTACAAAAACAAAGTTTCTTATGCAGGCTAATCAACTTGATACATTTGGTGGATTCGTTTCTATCACGTTGCAAATGTCACTAAAAACTCCATGGCTCGTTCTAGTAATTTCCTGAACATACAAGAAACCAGCTCTGCCATTTGTGACCAGCTCCAGCCAGTTACATCAAATGGCAAAAAGGCCTTCATCCTACAAATGTAACATCCTCGGGGCTTCTTGTGCACTTTCAAGATTAAAACAGAAGAAACACAGCTACCATCAAAGCTGAATGATTTTCAGTTCTTTTCCATTAACAAATTTAAATTCCCTGTCACCAGAGTTAAGGGAGAAGCTACCACTAAATCTTTCCACTCCCGTTTTGTACAGCATTACTAGAACTCATCAGACTTAAAAGAGACAGACAACCAACTCACTACATTTCTTCAACTTAAATCAAAAGCTTTTTTCCACTTTTTTTTTTTTTTTTTTTTTTTTTTTTTTTTTCCCCAGAATGCCCATAAATAAGTTCAATCACATAGAAAGGTCAAGCGGGGATTTCATTATGCTACTTTCTTGATTAGAGACTACTAACGGGAGGGATAATTTGTCGGAGTGATTGCAAAACAGCATTTCACTAGCTATGAAAGGGAAGCCAACACTTAGGAAATTGGAGCATTAGAAGAAAACATGACAACCTTGTTATTAATAACTTTTATAGCTCAAATTTAAAAATATTTGATCAAAAACAATTCAAGATTCATGAAGAAAAATCTGGAACTATATACATGCATAATTAAGAATATCTAGACTCTTATCAATATTTACTTAAAATTTTTTGTACAAGTTCTTTCACACAATCATATTTACAAGCATGTCTGTTTAAAACATATGAACATACATCTTTTATAGCATTTACAAAACATTTGAATATATTTTTTTTCTTAAAAACGAAAGAATATTTCATTGATTTGACAGATTTGGTTTCATCGTATGGTACTGGACAGGTATTTATCCAGTGGGATGGAAGGAGTTATCACTATTCAACTATCTAAGTAACAGTCAAACTACTGGTACCCAGAATTATCATATATGGCTTTAAATACCTCCCAAACTCAAATGATCATCTCACAAGTATAAACTACAGTCCATCTGTGGTATGTTTCTAATTAAAGTCTTGAGCCTTTGTTTGGGTTAGATCCACAACTCAGCAAACACATTCTAAGCATGTACTCAGAAATAGGAAGCACTTCTAATTTAAAGAAAAAACAACTCTGCTTCCAATCAAGTCAAGCACATATTAAGTATGTATAAAATGTGATGTATGGACTTTTCTAGACATTCTAGCTACCTTTATGGATGTTTTATTATTGTGGAATAATATGGTTTTGAACAGACAGTATTTGTAGGGATTTACAGGAATCAAGTGAGAGATCTTCTAAGAAGGGGAAGAATCTTTTTCCTCAAAATATGAACATTAAAAAAAAAACCAACCTTCTGAGTAGGTTGTGTATATAATATATCTAAGTTACTGATACAATCCAATCAATCAGATCAGTATCTGGTAACAAGGTCTCTCTTCACAAATTAACTGAAGAGTTGTCAGCTTGCTTGCTTTTGGCTAGGTGTCCTGGTTTTGGCCAGCACAGAGTTAACTTTCCTTGGGCTGGGAGGGAGCACAGCTGGAGGGCTGGGCCCAGATTGCTCATTGAAGTATTCCATATCAGGTGATGTCATGCTCAGTGCATAAAGGAAGCACATGCTTTCTCATTTTGGTTTTCTGGTCTGCACCGTGGGATCTTTGGTGCAGTAATATTGATTATATCACGCTCCCACAAACTCGGCATGGCAAACACCATGTGCTTACGGTGGTGGAAGCTGCCACTGGTTGGTTGGAAACTTGTGCCGTGCCCCATGACACTGCCCAAACACCATTTTAGGCCTTGAGGAGAAAGTCTTATGGTGGCATGGCATGCCAGAAAGAATTGAATCAGATAATGGGACACATTTCCAAAACAACCTCATAGACCCCTGGGCCAAAGAACATGGTATTGAGTGGATATATCACATTCCGTGCCATGCACCAGCCTCTGGGAAAAGTGAGCGATACAATGGATGGCTGAAATCTACACTGAGGGCAATGGGGGGTGGAACTTTCAAGCACTGGGATGTGCATTTAGCAAAAGGCACCTGCTTAGTCAGTACCAGAGGATCTGCCAAGCAAGGTGGCCCTGCTCAGTCAAACCTCCTACATACTGTGGATGGGGGTAAAGGCCCCACAGTGCACATTAGAAATATGCTGGGGGAGACCATCTGGGTTACTCCTGCATTGGGTATAGGTAAACCCATGCATGGGATTACTTTTGCCCAAGGACCTGGATGCACTTGGTAGGTGATGCAGAAGGATGGAGAGGTCCGATGTGTGCCTCAGGGAGATTTGATTTTAGGTGAGAATAGCCAATGAACTGGACTGTCAAATAACCCTGTTATGGCAATTGGTGCCTTGCAACATCCCCATGTCACATCCAAAGTCTCCTGCTCCACTAACTGAGCCAACTCCAACTCATTCCTCCAGCCTTAAAGACTTTCATGACAGATAGAACCCGAAGTTATGGACTAAATGAATTCAGTAGACATTGTGGAAGGATGGCCCATAGACTGAGGGAATGATATCTGTGAGATCTGGGAAATAAGGGTGGTGATTTCTGAAGATGTATTTGGAACCTGAGCATAATGTTAATGGTATTGAATAAGGGGTGGAGACTGTCCTGGTTTCAGCTAGGATAGAGTTAACTTTCCTTGGGCTGGGAGGGAGCACAGCTGGAGGTCTGGGCCCAGACTGGTCACTGGAATATTCCATATCACGTGATGTCATGCTCAGTGTGTTCTTTCATTTCCAATTCTGGTTGGCTGGCAGGATCTTTGGTGTGGTCCAGATTGCTGCTGGGGGTGGGCTGTGTACCGGTCACCGGTGGTGAGCAACTGCTGTATGTTGCCTGTTTAGACTTCCTATTGTTACTGTTGTTTTGTTACCATCACCAAACTGTTGGGGGTTTTTTATTATTATTCAAGCTAAGAATTCTCCCTTTTTCTTTGTCCCTCTCCTATTTTACCAGGGAGGAAGGAAATGTAAGTGACTGGCTGCATGGTGACTGGCTACCAGCGGAGTTCAAACCACAACACTAGGAAAACAAACCCAGACTTTTGGCTTTTGCAAATCAAGTAGCCATCTCCTTTGAACACTGTTCTCTAGAGCTCCTGCATCGATTGCTCCACAGTTTGTTCTTCGACAGGCTGCATAGCTTCCTGAACGTAAACTATGAATTCTGAAGCCTCTCCTCCCTGCGTATAGACAGTCACTGTCTCAATTCCCTGCACTCCATCTGATGAGACAACCAGGTGATGCTGCTCAGACAGCTCCACTGAAGCTTGCTGCAGTGTCTCTTGAATCATCAAAGTGTGATTGGCTGATTGTTCCTCTTCTTTTACCTAAGGAGTAATTGAAGAGGTTACAGAAATTTCACCTTTCCAGTAAGCATCTAGTATTGTGATGATGAATGGAAATACAGCACAGAAATTAGAAATCAGATAGTTTTGAAAGAAAATGTCAGTTTTACAGAAAATTTGTTGTCAGTACTTTTGATTAATAAGTGTATAGCTAGACAGAATACTTAAAGCAGTAACAGAGGATCTCAGTGATATGCACAGAGAGCTGCAAAGTTCCAGGAACACAGGTCTTTGGAGACAGCTTCAATCCCTCAGCAGTCATTCATAGAATCAGAGAAAGGTTTGGGTTGGAAGGGACTTTAAACCACCCCCCCTGCCATAGGCAGGGATACCTTCCACTAGACTAGGTTGCCCAAAGACCCATTCAACACTTCCAGGGAGGGGCATCCACTACCTCTCCGGGAAACTTGTTCAAGTGTCTCACCACCCTCACAGTGAAGAACTTCTCTCTCATATCTAATCTGAATCTACCCTCTTTCAGTTTAAAGCCATTACCCTGTGTTCTATCACTACATATCCTTGTAAAATATCCCCCCTCCCACCTTTCCTCTAAGTCCCCTTTAGGTACTTTAAGGCCGCTATAAGGTCTCCCTGGAGCCTTCTCTTCTCCAGGCTGAACACCCCCAACTCTCTCAGCCTGTCCTCACAGGGGAGGTGCTCCAGCCCCCTGAGCATCTTTGTGGCCTCCTCTGGACCCACTCCAACAGGTCCACGTCCTTCTTATGTTGGTGCCCCCAGAGCTGGACACAGCACTGCAGGTGGGGTCTCATGAGAGCAGAGTAGAGTAGAGGGGGAGAATCCCCTCCCTCGACCTGCTGGCCACACTACTCTTGATGCAGCCCAGGATATGGTTGGTTTTCTGGGCTGCAAACATATACTGAAGGGTCACGTTGAGCTTCTCAACAACCATCACACCCAACTCCTTCTCCTCAGGGCTGCTCTTAATCCATTCTCCGCCCAGTCTGTATTTGTGCTTGGGATTGCACCAACCCATGTGTGGGACCTTGCACTTGGCCTTGTTGAACGGGCCCACCTCTCCAGCCTGTCCAGGTCCCTCTGGATGGCACATCTCTTCCCTCCAGAGTGTCGACTGCACCACACAGCTTGGTGTCATCAGTGAACATGCTGAGGGTGCACTCAATCCCACTGTCCATGTCACCAACAAAGATGTTAAACAGTGCTAGTCCCAACACTGACCCCTGAGGAACACCATTCACCACACATTTCCAATGAATGATGCCACTCATTATTCATTCAAAACCACTCTTATTTAAATAAATCTGAAATCAAGCAATTCCTCTAGTAGCACTGAGATGAGAATCCACCACGAACCACAGGAAAAAAAAATATACTGTACCCATCCTTTTTCTTTTTTGTCCTAGCTATTGATCGCTCAGAGAAGCAAAAATTCACTGTAAACCTTTTATTAGAAAACTGTGAAATGTAAATATTACTGAGATTCCTAAAATCTACTGTCTGTGAGACAGCAATTTTTATATTATTGAAAGGATAGAGACAGAAACAATCAAAAAGAACAGAATTTTTACATTTTGCTTCCTCTCAAAAAGAAAAAAACCAACACTACTTGGTACTGAATTTCTAAGAGTTCAAACAGCTGTCTGTCAATTAATATACAGTACTTACTAGAATTAAAGAAAAAATCTTAATTCTTTACCAGATCCATGTAAAATTCCTATGCAAATTATTCCAGGGGAGTAAAAACACAATAGAAAACTCTAAGTCACGTGGAGAAAATGCATTCTCTGAACTTTAAGTGATAAAATAATGCACTTTTGAGAACAGAATGGAACAGCAATTTTTTGTTACGCAAGATATATGCAAAGGCATTTGTTAAATGCTTTCAGTAAAATACCACTCCCTGAGTTCATTGGAGAGAGCTGGTTTATTTGCTGCACCATAAATGACAACCCACCTGCAAATGCAACATGCAGTTAATCAAATCCTCTCTTACTTCTCTTTTCAGAAAATGGGTTGGTTTTGTTAAGGCCTATTTCTCTTTCATTTAGGCTTAGCACATATTTTATGAAGGAAGCTTCCAGAGATAAATCATGTTTATTTCTCACTGTAAGAAAGTAGCTGATTGAATTTGTAGGAGGTCACATTCTCTACAAGATACTTTTTTCATATCATCAAGTGTATCTATAAATTGTCCTCTTACACAAACAACAGGAAACAAAGACAGAATTGCTGGCTCACCTATGTCTCATGATGGAAAGCAAAACCCCACAGTCCTTCCCATAACCATATGACATGTAATAAGAAGAAAACAAAGGACTGATAGATACCAATTTACTGGATCTCAGTGTACCCTTGTATCTCAGAGCAGTATATGGTGTGCTCTTCACAGCACTGAACTCATAGAAGATTTTAAAAAGGACAGGTCAAACCTGGTGGATTATCCAAATTAGAAAGGGGGAGCTTTTTTAATGAAAAGCTGATTCAAAAGTTTTTCTCCAGTTCTCATTTATATGACAGTGTTTTTTAAACAGTAGTATTAGAACAATCAAGTTCAAGAAAATATAATTAAGATCAATGTTGTTGCTTAAGAGGGGGGCAGGAACAGAAAAGAATTTCAGCAAAGATTCCAAGCATGTGTTTGACGCCTTAGAGTCCAGCAATGAGAAAAAAAAGTTCTATGTGTTTATTTTCCTGATGCTCTTTTCTAGTTTGGTTTTCCCCTAAGCAACCATTCCTATTATTATACACTGACTTTTAACTTTTTTATTCCGTGTTTAAAATATCTGTCAGATGAAGACTTCAGAGATGCAGAAACCCCTTAGGACTTCATATCACTTTGAACTTTCACTCAATTCATCAGGCTATATAAAGCTTTTTCTTGAACAACAAGTATGTTCAGGTGTTAAATTATTCAGAGGTCTCAGAGTCAGTATGCTGTAATATATCGATGAAATAGATGTGGAGTTTATCTGGTGAAAACATCTAAAGAGAATCTTACATTGTCACTGAACTTAATGCAACACCACAATCGTATCTACTGATGCTGACTCTGGCTTTGTTGCACAGGATTTAGATTATAGGGATACAGCTACAGGAATGGGCTGAAGTCCTTTCCAGATTCTGTTTCTTTTACAAAGCATATCTGAACATTTTAATTGAAAGTTACTTTAAACAGCTCGTGATGAAGTTCAAGCTCAACATCCTAGAAAAGTGGGTGATGCTGGATGCTTGTCTTGACACAATAAAATTTGCGAACACCCTCAGAAAAAATAATTTATATTGTCACAAAATATGGGTATTACCAAAGTGCCCTTTACTAATGGAAGCTTAACCTTCTCTTCGAAAAGCAAGGAGCTAAAATTATGAAAAGACTTAGCACTGTTAACTGTTAACTTTCTTCTCTTGTTCATCTCCACACATCCCCTTTTTTTCTTAAGGAATCCCTAAGTCCTACTGGCAGCAATAGGAATTTTGTGAATCATACACAGGACTCCCTTTATAACTATCCTCTTCTCTTTTATGAGGCTACCTGCTCCCAGTGTCAGCTCATGTGAAAGGAAAGGACATACACAAGATCTGCTAAGGAAGACCACAATAGGCAGACAAAAGCCTAATCACTATTAAATTCAGATAGGAAGCTGCACTTAAAAATGTGAGATAATTAACATCTCACAGCTTGTTATGAATCAGCTCACAATTACAGCCCTTGATGCTAGAGATCCTCAAACAAATAGACAAATAGGGGTGTCTAAAATTTAGCCCTTAATTATGTAATATACACTGACTTCTCTTGTGTTAGTGCATTAGAAATTATCCTCTGACAACATGCCTCCGATGAGAAAAACTACACTACATACTTTGCTAAGAGCTGAAAGAATGCACAGCTCAGTCTGAGCAGGATCTCGTACAGTCTCGCTTTAGTCACTCTAAATCAAAACCCATAAATAATTTTAAATATAGTTTTGTGAGTGTACATAAATAACAAAGAAAGGAAAATAAATAAAGCACAGTTGACACGGAAATGAAATGAAACCAGAATCTCATTCAATTCAATAGGAGCAATCTAATACTTATTCAGTTTTATATGCTTTTGAAATGAAAATGGCCAATAAAGAAAGTTAATTTAACCTCCCTACCTGACTTTATCGATGTGGTTTTATTACCCTTGTCATGCAGGGTAAAGAAGACTAATGCCCTTATTTCTGGTGTTTCTAGCTTCCAGTATCTTTTTTGGACAGCTATCTGTAATCCTTTTAGTTTGACAAATCACCACATTATTTTGGATATTTACATTTCAAATCAGTTCAATGTTTACATGCTTCTGCTTGGTTCCTATTAGATTGTTCCACAGGGAATAATCTCAAAATGTTAATTTACATCCCTCAAATGGATGAAACAGTGGGACAGCTGCCATCAGAATGAATGAAGTCACTATGCTCAATTCTTTTTATTGGCATCTGAAATCTTTTGAAGAGTAGCATCCAAGACCTCTTTTCTGTTTGAGAGCCAGCTGAAAAGCATCTGGCTGCTTATCCTTTGCTAAAGAATGACAGCAAGAAGCTGAACCCACACACAGCTGGCATATTAAATCAATTCAGTACCTGCATAAATATTCTTTACTAGCTAAATGTGTCTCTCTCAGAAGCCAATGGGACTTTCACCCCATGTCTTCATAAGAAGCTCAATATTTCTAAATTATAAATGTTCTTAATTTAAATATCTGAGGACCATCCAAATACATGCAAGTGACATTAAAAATGGGTGTCTCTAGAGAGGAATCTCTTCCTCTGAAAACAAGCAAGTATTTTTAATTTGAAATTAATTCAAGCCATTAAGGAAAATATACTTCTTCCCTTCCCTCAAAAGGAGTTAAAAAAAAAATATTTGCAGTAAGATGCTAAAGCCACTTCTTCATTCTAGAGCTCATCCTGAGAAATAATGAATATCTTCAATTTTATTTGAAGCCAGCAGGAGTTGCACATCCACAGTGTTTAAAACAGTCT